GTGGCCCAGCACGTTCCTATAGCCCCTCCTGCTGCCCCACCTGCTGCACGTGGCCCAGCACGTTCCTATAGCCCCTCCTGCTGCCCCACCTGCTGCACATGGCCCAGCACGTTCCTGTAGCCCCTCCTGCCGCACCTGCCCCCACCTGCTGCATGTGGCCCAGCACGTTCTTGCGGCAGTCAAACACGCCCTTGCCCTCCTCAGAGTACAGCTGGTAGATGAAGTCGGTCGTGTAGTTCACACAGCAGTTCTCGTTCCTGAAAGGCAGGAAGTCCCAGCCTTACTTCCTGCACCGCAGGCAGGGTTCTGGGGGTCATCTGCAGGATGGCCAGGCACACGCTCCTGGCTGTGCTAGACACAGGGTGCGTGCCGTCCCGCGGCCCCTCCCTCCAGCCCGGAGCGCTCTCTGTAGTTCTGGTGACTAGTGCCCATTTCCAGGACTACCCGTTGAAATGTCAGACTGCGGCCACTCCATGTAGCATGGCCCACCCCATCTGAGGTGGGAACTGAATCACCCCTTGCCGGGAGACCCCCCTGACAGTCCCTCAGGTATGCCAGCTGTCAGATTAACGACAGCACACAGGGTCAGTACTGTCCACAGTCCGGCGTCCTCTGCAGGTCTTGAAACCTGTTCCCCACACACACACAGACAAGGGGGCAACTGTGTTTTTCCCCCCCTTCTTCATAAAGGTCTGGGGCTTACTTGAAATATTTGGGAGATACCTTTAACACATAATAGACTACTAAGCAAAAGTAAGTGAATCCCCCACTTCTGTCGTTTAAATGTGGTCCCTGAGCATAAGGCTCCCTGGGCCACTCCCAGGCTTCCTCCGTGATCCCGTGACAGCCGCAGCACAGATGGCTGCTCCTCACTGTCAGGTCCTAAAATCCACCGGGCTTGTGAGAAGTGCAGGTCGGATGAGGATGGCCGTTACCTGAGCACGAGGCCCCTCTGGATGGACGTCTTCATCTTCTCTGTCAGGTGCTCCACGTTGGTCTGTAAGAGAGGGTTGGTTACTCGCCGGGCGCCCAGTGCTCATGGGCAGCCGGCTGTGCCTGTGGGAGGAACACTCAGTGAGGGGACGCACAGGCGGCTGCCCCTGCATCTCAGCTTCTGTGCACAGATGAGCAAATGTCAGGCAGTGAGGACCTCTGCAGCAGCCACAGGCACAGTGGACCCGAGCAGGGAGGCCGCCAGCGGGACAGTGCCTCCAAGGACCAGGATTCAACTGTGCATTTGCCCGTGCAGGGATTTTCAACCTGTGTGCCCAGACACTCAGAGTGCCACGAACAGTTTTAAAGATTAATTTTTGAAAGAAGTTCAAACAACAGTAAACATTACTTTTTTTTTTTTGAATCCACATAATTTAAGTGTGTTGTGGAAATTAACCATAGGCTGAAGCCTGCCGTGAGATGGAAAGGTGGGAACCACTGCTTGGCGCCCCGGCTTTACTTCCTAGTGGTGTCCCAGGCACCCTCTGCAGGAAACAGCCCTCACTTCACAGGGCCTCGTCCTGTGAAACCGACACTTTCCGATCAAAAGCCCTTAAGAGACTCATTCATGCACAGATTTCCTAAAGGAAAAAATGTCTCAGAAGAAGAAATGTACAAAAACGTCTGTCTCGGTTCATGTCTGGAGGAGTGCAAAGGGAGGTGATTTTCTAAAGCCCATCCTAAAAATATAATCAACTGTCAGTTTTAACTGTATTTTTTAAGCATCTACCGTGTGCAGAGAGCCACAGACAGTCTGCTGACGTGTCACCTTGGAGCCACGGCCAGGTCTGCTGAGGTGTCATCTCTGGAGTGCATGGGTCACTTCACATAGGGGACACATTCTGAGGGGTATTGTTACGTGACTGTGCTCACACACAGCCTCCACACACCTGGGCCGCGAGGTGTGACCTGTGGCTCCTGGCCCCAGACCTGCACCACGTCTCACTGCCTCGACTACTGCAGGCAGCTGGAACACAGTGGCATGTATTCCATGTCTAAACACAGAGAAGGTACAGGGAAGAGCCACTGTGAAAGGAGAAAGTGAGTCACAGGAGCAGCTCTGTCATGATCTCGTGACCACCATCACCAACCAAACCATTAAATACTGTGGAGCTCCCACAGCTGGCTGCCTTCCTTCACTGGCCACCTCAAGGTGACCTAATTCTCACAGACTGGACATGCACCATGTGTACGTGTCAGCCCAGGAGGCCTCGTCCCTTGTGGTGACCACCTCAGTGTGCTGACCGTCTGTATGGTCCCTGGGGTCACTCATAGAGGTCCTGCTGCCATTATAAGCAGCACATCTGTCTCCTAGTGGCTTCTAGCTGGCTGTGTGTGCCCCTTCTCTGCCCCCAGCACAGGCATCACCATCCTGCAGGTCTGGCCACCTGCATGGCACCTCGAGTCCCTAACTAAACATGACCTTTCACAGAGGACATGGTTCTTCCCTTGGTGCTCTTGTAGGCTGCTGCAAACCTCCCCAGTCTCAGACCAGGACACCAGAGCCCAGGCCTGTCATAGAGGCTCCAGGAGGCCCCAGGGAGACTGTGCAAGGAATCGGAGCCTACAAAACAAGTCAGGGTCACCTTTAAGTGGTTCCTGACACAGGTACGAAAATAATGTGACAAACTGAACCATAAACAATGTGACAAACCGAACCACTGGCGTACAGACAAAACAAGTGAGCCTACGTCACCACACGCAAGGATCACAGATAGGTGCCCTGTCACCCTGAAAGTCACTCGGAAACACACGGGGATGCAGCAGGCACAGGCCAAGGGCTAGCTTGGCATGTTGATGACACCCCTCCACCGCCCAAGGACCCTGCAGACACCCGCCGACCCCACTGTCTGTGCAGAACCACAAGGCCTCTGCAGTGGGTGCGCCCAGGAGGCCCAGCCCCGACCTACCTGCAGGTCTCGGATGTCAAAAGGCTCCTCAAAGATGTAGGCAGCGTCGGCTCCGGCTGCGAGCCCCCCCATGTTGGCCAGGTAGCCGCAGTAGCCGCCCATAGTCTCGATGATGAACACACGCCTCTTGGTCCCGCTGGCTGACTGCTTGATGCGGTCACAGGTCTGGTCACAGAGGGGAGATTGGTCACTCCAGCCCAGGGACCCCCACTCGCCAGTCCAGAGCTCCCTCCCTCAGCCAGGCATGTGGTTATGACAGCTGGACACAGGTGAGGGCCTGCAGTGGCCAGAGGGGGCACAGACACCTGGTGGTGTCCGCCATGACCCTCCCAGGGGCTGGCCACCCCGTTCCCTCCTCCAGGCACCACAGAACCACCTGGGAGCTCACCCTGCTCTGCTCCCCGAACACGAGCCTGCCACTGTCAGCACAGTGGACTGACTGATAGATGATTTTTCTTTTTGAGACAGATTCTCATTGGGTAGAGTACTGTAGTGTCATAGCTCATAGCAACCTCAAACTCTTGAGCTCAAATGATCCTCTTGCCTCAGCATTGCAAGCATCTGGGACCACAGGTGCCTACCACCAGGCCCAGCTACTTTTTCTAATTATTCAGCAGACACAGGGTCTTGCTCATGGTCAGGCTGGTCTTGAACTCCTGAGCTCAAATAATCCACCTGCCTTGGCCTCTCAGGGTGCCGGAATTACATGGTGAGCCACCACACCCAGCCAGCACAGGTGCATTCAGATTTTAAGGAGTGTCATGTTCCAGCTTAGCTGGTAGCACTCACTGTGCCATTTCATTTCTTCTGTGATGCTGGGATCACCTTCAGATCCTCCACTTAAAGGCAGAAGGCTCCTTAGACACAGGTGTCAGGAGAAGGCCCATGGACACACCGGCGTGGGGTCTCTTGATGAAATGTCCACCACCTTCCCTTCCACACCAGTCTAGGCTGCCACCAGTCTCAGCCTCCATGCGGGGCCCCTCCTGTCCATTCACACTAAACTGAGGTCCACCCAGGAAAACTCTGGTCTCGTGAAGAAGTTCTCACCTGGTGCAAACTCAGCTAACTCCTCTGAGACACACCGAGGCCACCTCGGAGCCCTCTCCCCACCTGCTGTACCCCGTCATGCTCACCCAGCTCTGGGCTCTGATGCACTCTGTTCCTGCAGGCCAGACTGGCCCAGGGCTGTCCCCAGCCTACTCCTGGAGCTGGGAACATACCCTACATGGTGATTAAGGGCTGGGGATGGAGAGCACCTGGGTTCTCCAGGCAGGCCCTAGGCACCGTAACACATGTCCTTATGGCCCCTCGGCAAGAGGCCACCGGAGTTTGGGAAGCTGGAAGTCAGAAGGGGCTTCCAGAGCCCCTGCCTCAGCCCCACGACGTGTGCTCCCCAAACCCTGGGTATGAGTGTCTTCAGACACAGAGTTTGTGGTCACTTGTGGCACAGCCACAGGAAACTTTTGTGGGCACCCTGTGGCCTGCTTGACTCTGACTCACAGTGCTGGTCTCCAGAATGAACAGACCCCCTATTAGGGTCCCTGGTCAGGGAGATGTCCCTTCCTACCTCATATAAGACTGTGATTCCATGAGGGTAGGGATCACGGGCTGGGCTCACACTCTGGTAGCGCCAGCCTTGCACAGGGCAGTGGGTGCCCCAGTGAACGCTGGTCAGCAAATGACGTCAGTGTACCATTGCTGGTCACTCCCTCCGGTCCAGTGCTGACCACCAGGACTCCCTGACGGAGTCTCCATGGTCCCCAGTGGACAGACACCCTGCAGGCAGTGGCCCCGGGGGGACCAGGCATCATGATTGGGGGGTTGTGCACCATAGCAGCCCAGGACTGTCAAACCGTAAAGAACACTCTGAGTAATAAACAGGCCTGTGTAAAATCACTTCAATCTCTACTTCCAATCTCTTTGATGGATTCTCGCTGTCCCCAAATAATTAGTTGATGTATTCAAATTTCAATATGCGTACTAGTCAGTGGGCAGCCTGGCATCCTCCCGTGGGAGCTGGGGTGGAAGAGGAGCAGACAGCAGGCCAAGGCTCACCTCCACAATTATGTGGGGACAGGAGCCAGCCCCCAAAGGCTCTGTGACAGGCCTGGGGTGTAGGACTCTGGACAGAGCCCCGGCCCTCTCTGTATCTGCCTGGCATTCCAAACAGCTCCAAGCTGCACAGCGGGTATCCTACCATTTTTCTACATGTGGTTTTTACAAAGTGTAAATGGAATGTGTCGAGGTGAGATGGAGTTTGCCTCAGTGTGGAGGAGGAAGGAAGCCACTGATGTCCATGTGTGGCTGGCTCTGTTCCTGAAGGCTGGGTGACCAGGACCACATGTCCCTGGGGGAGCTGACCATCTGCAGAAGTGGCATGCCAGGCAGGGCAGGGACCAGCATACAGTGCAGTCCCCTGGGGAGCAGAGCAGAGCTCATGCCCAGTCTGTGCAGCACGTGCCAGGGTGCAAGGGCAGAAACAAGTATGAGTCAGGAGGGTGCCCAAGAAAGGAAAAACCCAGGACCAGATCTGGATTAAGCACAGAGCACTCAGTGCAGGGAGCTCAAAATAAGGGGCTGACAAGGAAGCAGCCTCCCCACTCTAACCCTGCTGCAATATGACAAGGACAGGCCTGGCAGGGAGGCAGGGAGGCAGGTAGACCAGCCCTGACAGCAGAGTCAGCGTGGATGGCCGGGCTCTTAAGCTCCACACAGCTACGTCTGAGCCACCACCTCACTGTGCTGGGGACTCGTGAGCTCACAGGGGACGTTCAGGAGCTGTGTGGCCCTGCTTGCCACACACACGGAACATTCCCCGTCCCAGTTCTGACAAGCAAACCATCCTGGACTTCACAAACACCCCCACAGGGTGATCAACCCTGCTGAGAATCACTGAGCTTTCTAACAAAAGGCGAGGCCCTGTACAGGTCCACAGATTGCAAAGCTAAGTGCTCCCGGGGCCACACGGCAACCACGATGGGCAGAGCGCAGGCTGCAGGTGTAGAGGGCCCTTTGGCTGTGCCCTACAGAGCCCTGTCTGGGCCTGCTTTAGGCTGCTGAGTGACCAGTGCTAGCTCAGTGCGGGACCCCCTCCCTAAAGGCTCCCTTAGCCCCTGGACAGTTACTGGTTGCAACCGGTCACCTCAGGCCCTTGTTTCCTGAGGACGCTGCCAGTCCGTTTACTTCTTATATAACAGCAAAGTTCAGGCCCAGATGCAGCCCACCCAGAAGGATTCGACTTCATTTCGGCTTCAAACCCAGAACTCTGGGCAAAGCTGACCCCACGTCGGTATTTCACACTATGCCTGCAGCCCACAATGGGCCCCACACCTGCTTTCTCCTCCCGGCCTGGTCCTGACGGGTCACGGCATTCACTGAGGTCACCCTGCCTGCCCGGCATTTCTCACACACCACAAAACCACGGCCACAGCACAGCAAGGAGACCCGTCCCTTGGAGACCTGAAGACAGAGTGGGCAGCAGGGACTACACGTGGTCACTCACCAAGGACGGCCGTACCCAAGGCCGCAGCAATGACCCTCCTTACTCATTCCCTTCTTTCTCACGTGTTATAATTGGTCAGCCTGCCTTTGAGAAACCAGATGAAAACCTGGATTTTTAAAAGTCACCTCGTGAATTGCAAAATCCCTCACAGGGGTGTCCAATCTTTTTATGTTTTTTTCTGCCACACACTGGAACAGGAGAGTTGCCTTGGGCCACACAGGAAACACACAAACATTAACGAAAGCTGATGAGCAAACTCAAGGTCTCTGCATAATTTTTTCGATAGCTGACACCACAGATAAGCAAAACAGTCCTCAAATAATCTACATTCGGTCCTTGGGGGCCACAGGTTGGACACCCCTGTGGCGCAGGGGAGTAAAAGACAAGTGGAATTGAGAATTGACTTCTTTTCCCCTTCTAGATTTTGTTTTTCAGGTTTTTGACTCTACACATTTATTATATATTTATAATCTGAGTAAAAGAGTTCTTTTTAGCAGAAGACCCTGAATTATAAAACAGGAGAATCTTTCTTCAAGCCTGAAAGTACACGTCAGCGGCCACTGGAAGGTACAACCACGGCCTGCATCTTCAGAGCTTCCGCTAACTAACTAACTAACCACTAACTAACCATTAGCTTCCACTAACGTAAAGGGCAGCTTCCGACTCTCCACCCAGGCCCCTCAGTGAGCTCTACTTATGCTCCCAGACCTCCTACCACAAGGTCAACTCATGCAGGTAAATAAATGATATCAACAAAGATGACAGCCTCTGTGAGGAGGACACAGGCCAAGCTTCACATTCACAGCTGACCACAGTCCAAGTCCCCCACCAGCCCGACCACAGCAAAGGCGGCAAGTAAACAGTCACCAGGAGGCGCAAGTGAGCCAGCAACAGTCCCTCCCCAAAGCCAGTGTCTTCAGCACAAAAAGTACAGAAAGATTAAGTTCTGAAAAGCAAGAAACAAGTGCTAAACATCACTTACCATTCGAGTCGTACTTTTAAAAAAGGTTTTTGTTTTTTATTTACCAGCGCTAGAAATAAGTTTGATGCCAAAGGTTTAAGAAAAAAAAGAATCTTAGGAAAAACATTTACAAAACCAGGTCTCACGAGGAAAATTGGAACTTGACAACTACAAAAAATTTTAGACACTGAATTAAAAAGACGAGTATTCTGTGTTAGTTTCTGGTCTTCAAATTCCCTGTGAATTACCAGGTGTGATTGATAAATATAAGAAGAAGATATTTCTATGTTTTGTTATTGCCTCTCAGCCAAAATACTAAAACAGCATCAATATTGCCCTAGATGATTTAACTTCCCAAGAAGGGAAGTTGCCCACAAGGGCAAAATGACATTACAGCCAAAACCAAGTATATAATAAATGCAACCCATGGATTCAGGTCAAGGTTAATAAAATGATAAAATACCTAGTTTTATTTTTACTCTGAAACATCAAGACAGGGGCCCTTGAATACAGGATGTATCATAATATGTGCTACAGGCCCAAAGGTAAGTTCTGAGCATCAAAAACCCAAAAAACTAACCAAAATCCCCTAATTTTAATGATTGCCCAGATTATTAAATACTCCTTGTGGGCTACAGAAGGTCCCTGGTGTTCAGCAAGTCTTGGCAGGGACACATCATCCCAGCAGCTGCACATAAAAGTTTTTTGAACTGCATCAAAGATTTCTAGATCCTAAAAAAATATTTTTATAATTTTCTGGAAAAAATAAGCAAAAGAGAAAGGCTCTCATTCCAGGGGTCTGTGAGGTGGTGGGCACAAGCACTTCAGTGCACTATTTAGAAAAGGCTGGGTCTGCGGGGTTAACGTCACCTCACCTCCATTGCTGGGCACGCACGCGCGCGCACACATACACACACACACACACTTACGTCCGTGACCGTGTTCAGAGCTGTGTCTGCCCCAATGCTGAAATCGGACCCAGGCACATTGTTGGAAACGGTGGCGGGAACCATGACCATGGGGACACAGAACTCCTCATGCTTCTCCCGGGCTGCGGACAGTTCTAGGAGTCCCAGGTAAGCCTGTGAGAGAAGGGCAGACAGCTGAGGGGCTGGGGGCTTGAGGGACAGCGGCTCCCCTGCCAAAGCACAGGAGAACAGGACTAGAAAAACCAACAGAGTCACGTTAAGACCAGACGAGAACACAGCCCATTACCATGGAGGAGCAAGTCTGATGATCTGAGGTTCTTACATTTTCTTTAAAGGAAACCAAAAGTTTGTCATAGAACTGATCTTCCTTGAGTAGGAAAAAAAATGAGGACTATAATCTCATACGTGATTTTTAAACAGTCCAGACGTACGACCATCTCACTGTCTGAGGCAGTGATTCTCAACCAGTGTGCCACGGCACACTGCTGTGCTGTGAGCGGGTCTTAGGTGTGCCAAGAAAATTTTTTAAAGATTATTAATTATCGGGCAGTGCCTGTGGCTCAGAGGAGTAGGGCACTGACCCCATATGCCAGAGGTGGTGGGTTCAAACCCAGCCCCGGCCCAAAAAAAAAAAAAAAAGATCATTAATTATTTTTGAAACCATTTCAAAGCACAGTCTATTCTTTTTTTACTCTTTTGATCAACATAACTTAAGTGTGCCATGGAAGTTTGACCACAGGTTCAAGTGTGGCATGAGATAAGAAAGGTTGAAAACACTGGTCTCAGTAGCCGATGGACCTTAGAATCATTTCTGCATACGTGAACTACACCAGCTCACTGCACGGGTGAGCCCAGTAGGAGCCAGGCACTGGCTTCCCAGCCAAGGTGTGTTCCTGGAGAGGTCACTCCTGTCCTGCTATTCCTCTGTCTCATGATCAGCCAGTGGCAAAGGGGTCAAGGTCTGGAAACAGATCTCAAGAGCAGTGGACCAGGGCTATGCAGGTGTGAAGCCAACACCCACAGGAAGGACGGAGGTGGCCGAACAGGACATACCTCAAATCCACCGATGATCAGCAGGGCGTGAATGCTGTGGGAGCGCATCTGTTCAGCAATCTTGTCCAAAAACTTCCCAGGTAGGACCCTGAAAACAGTCAGATCAGGGGTGAGGTCAGACTCCGACAGGCTTCCCAGATCCAGGCACATGTAGCATCAGGCACCCTGCAGAGGGAGCCAGGCGGTCTTGCCGGCCGCCCTCTCCACTACTCCCCATGTGCCCCATGGGGGACAGACAGCAGCTGAATGAGGAATCTTGTCTCAGAGAGGAATCTGATCTACCTTAAATCATCCCGTCATCCCCAGCTACATGGGGCACCGATGTTGTGATCCAGAAAAAGGCATTTTATGCTAAGATTTGTGAGTATCAGAGCTGTCCAGTCCAGCTGTCCACCAGCACCGACCTACCGTCCAGCATGCTATGAGCTGGTTTATGTTTGCAGTGTGGCTGCCAAGGCTTGGGGACATGCCAGCCTTACGACCTCGGGGGCTTCCTGGCCAACAACCCTTTATTTCCGAGAGTGAGGGCAGGTGCTGCCCTGAGCCACCCCTGTAGGAGGGGAAGGGCCACAGACACCCCAGTTCCCTTCCAGGATGCAGACTTTCCTTGTTCTGTGAAAATAGGCAGATGCCAAAATTGGGAAGTTACCGTTTTGTCCCAAGAATGGAGCCTCCTTGGCCTGTCCAGCCGCCAACATCTGACCAGCCTATTTCTTTAATCTAATGTGCAAACACAGAACGAAACAGCTGAAGTGAAAAGAGCAGGGAGTTAGAACTCTTTAAAAAGGGCTTCGGCCTCACGCCTTCAGCAGGCTGCTTTCTCCGAAGACCTGCTGGGCCCGTGTGGTTGGGACACTCTCTCATAGTGGCACCCCGAGCCCTCACACAGTTGGGCCCCAGGACAACCACCAGCTGAGAAACTCAGAGTACTGTGACCCCCGCCTGCAGGAACCTGACTCAGGAGGGGACTCTGAGCACATGCGGTGCCCTACAGAAGCAGCCCTTCCACCTGTGGGGCCACAGGCCTGGATGGAGACCTCGGGAAGGCACATGAGCACAGCTCAGACCCGGCGCTCTGGACAGCTCACCTGGCCTTTGGCCAAACCGTCAAAGCCGTCGTAGACCGCGAGCATCCTGTGGCCGTCAGCGATGCCCACACGCACTGCTGCGCGCACGGCCGCGTTCATCCCTGCAGCCGGCGCGCCCACGTTGATGACAGCCACGTTGCAATTGCTCTGTGAACCGGAGGTGGCGGCACCAGGTCACTGCACGTCAAGCCCCACACACTCCACACCTCGCGGTGGCCATGCCACACGAGGGCAAGGGCCACGGGGGAAGGTCCACGGAAGCAGTTGGAGTGACCAATGGGGGCCGGCTGTGTGGGGCCTCCATCCCCCGGCCGCCTACCTTTTGGATCTCATCATCTGGCAGCTTCATGGCGAGGCGCTTGTAGGTGTTCAGGTTGTTCTGGAAGCTCCTGAAAGGGAAGGGCGGGTGGCGCAGAGCTGAGAACTGTGGACAGGACGTGAGGGAGCACGTCTGGGGGGAGGGGACCACGCTGGACAGCAGCGTCACGTGAGGCTGCTCTTCTGACAATGGCCACTGGGCACCTTCATCTCAGTAGCTCCCCAACAACCCCTGACCTTGCCAGAAAAAGCCAACGATAATTTTTTTTTGAGTTTTTAAACTTTTGTTTTATTTTTTTTTTACTAAAGTCCAGAAAAAAAATATGGAACACTTCACGAATTTGCGTGTCATCCTTGAGCAAGGGCCATCTTCTCTGTATCGTTCCAATTTTAGTATATGGGCTGCCGAGGTGAGCACTTTTTTCTCTTTTTTTTTGAAAAGACAAGAATCTCACTTTATCACCCTCCATAGAGTTCTGTGGTGTCACAGCTCACAGCAACCTCCAGCTCCTGGGCTTAGGCTATTCTCTTGCCTCAGCCTCCCAAGTAGCTGGGACTACAGGTGCCTGCCACAACGCCCTGCTATTTTTTTTGTTGTTGTTGCAGTTTGGCCAGGGCAGGGTTTGAACCCACCACCTTCAGTATATGGGGTTGGCGCCCTACCCACTGAACCACAGGCACCGCCTGCCAACAGTAATTTTTTAAAAATGGTTTCTCTCTAATTAGTTCTTGAGGCCTTCAACCTGCACAAACTGTGCCTGTGTCCTGCCTTCCTTTGTGGTATTTTCACATCAAGACACAAACAGCACAGTTGACAGCATATTCTCAAGCCCCGGGGACACACGTTCCCAGCGAAACTGAGCTTTCTTCAAGACACCTCACCTCCCCCGCAGTTGCACGGCATCTTTGAATCTTCCCTCATTCATTGCCTTCTGCACGTCCTGGGTCTTTAAAAAATATATTGAAAAGAACATATTAAGTCTCAGCCCCTCCCTCTCAAGACAGCCCCTCTGTGGTCTGTGGCCAATCAACTGGAGAAGTCGAATCATGAATCATGAACTATACTTTGGAAAATAAAAGATGGAGATGACAGTTTTAACACAGTGGACACCGTGCCCAGCTGCTGGTCAGACATTATGACTCCTTTCCCCTTCCTCCATTTCCAGGAGCAAGGGGTGGGTCCATCTCAGAGCGGGAATTGCTGATTCATGTCCTTGGGGCTCATGCTACAGGCCCTGGGCAGGACACACGCTTCCCTGGGACACCCGCAGTGGAGGTCTCTCCAGCGGCCACTTCCCTGCAGCTCTTACAGGGGCAGGGTGGGAATAGGAGCCTCCCACCATCCCGAGGGCAGTCCCCACCTGTTCTCAGAAAGGTGGGTTAGCCCAATGGTTGCACCCAGCAGCAGTGGGACCCCACTGTCCCCGCCCAGGCAGGGCCTGCCCCACTCACCATCTGTACACATTCCACCAATGGCAGACGTACTGCATGGTTTCCGCTCAGTGACACAACGCAGGCCGGGACCTCAGGGGTGGCCTCCAGCAGGGCGATGACGGCCTCCACCCCCATGCGGCTGGCCTGGAAGCCACGTCATGTCGGTCAAATGTGGCCTCTCTCCCATCCTCCCCACCATGGCTGCAGGTGTCATCAACCTTCCTCCCTGGTCTCCCCTGTTCTCAGGCAGCCTCCCCCCACCCAGCCCTCTCTCTAACAAAGTGATTCCAATTCCACAAGGACTGGCAGGGTGGGAGCACAGGGACAGTCCAGCAACGTGGACAGCAGAGATACTGAGAGCAGAGAATTGGCCTCAGGATCTCTGCTGCCCTCGGTGGTCTCTGGAAACCCACATGGGGGTGGGGGTGCCACCTCCTCCTGCTGGATTGAAGCCCCAATCATCCACATCACTCCAATGGAGGTGTTCTGCTGCCCACGTCCCAGGGCCCGCAGGCCTAGGGACCCAGCCATTCCAGCAAGTCTCCAAGACCTTTAGGAGAGAGGCACCGGCCACCAGCATGTCCAGGGCTGGGCATCCAGCGAGCCCTCTGTAGTCAGCTCCCTGGAGCCCCCACAAAGCAGCCCAGCCCTGCTGTCCTCACTCACCAGAATCCTGTCAAATGCTGAGGGGGTCCCTCCTCTCTGCACATGCCCGAGAATGGTCACACGTGTGTCGTACCCCAGCTGCTTGACCACAAGCTGTGAGGAAACACTGCATTAGTAACAGCCATGGCGTGGACACAAGGCTCGGACTGGGAGCAGGTGCTGGGTGGTGAGGGGAGACTTCTCTGCCCTTCCCCAGGGCTAACTGAGAAAAGGGTCATTTCTAGATGTTGCTTCCTGAAGGAATATTTAGTTTAACAGCAGTCTGAAATAGACCTTTTGAGATAACGCTTTCATTATCAAAACCTTTGCCTCCCGTCCTTCAAAATGAACATAAGCAACATGGTTTTAGAAAACATTCCAGTGGTTTCTATTTAAAGTATTACTTATACTTTACAAATATGAAAACTTTTCCTTTAACCACCTTAAACTCTCAGGACTGAGACCTGCACAGAGTGAGTGGGCGACTTGGCCAGGTCCCCCGTCCTCTGCACTCCACTCACACCTCTGTGGAACAGTGGCCTGAGGTTTCAGGGCTGGCTCCTTCCTGGCCCACTATTCTGTGATTTCATCTCACTCAAGCCCCAACTTTGCTGACTACATTTCACAAACACTGGCAGATGTTGTCCACACTATCTGTCCATATTTCACACCTAGGGAGGAGCTGGTGCTGGTGTCAGGAAGAGGCCTGTATTGCTGGTTAACTGACCCTAACTGAGCATTGCAAGGAAACCGGCTTGCAGAGCCAGGTTGGAACCGTTCTCCACCTGCCGGCTGCACAAACCGGAGGAGTCTTCAGCCTCATCTGCAGCAGGGCTGGTGAGAGTGGCCGAGGCCACCGAGACAGGCTGGTGCCAGTCTGAACAAGCCCTGTGGCAACAAGCCCACTGGTCTTCCCTGGGCACAGCCATGAGGACGCCTGCAAGCTATCACAGCACTTTCTCTCTGAGTGACAACATGCGGGCAGATGCTGGAAGTCAGAAGGGAGACAGGGACCAGAAGACACCACCTCTGTCTCATGTCCCGAGTCAGCTGCCCAGTCCCCACTCTGGGAGTTTTCTATAACAAAGACCACAAATGGCCACTCAATCAGAACCCCCTGACTTCTGCTGGGAAGCGGGTGTTTCCCAGGTCACTGACATCATGAGTCATTCGAACAACATTTTTAATTATCAGGGAGCAAAAGATTCCAAACAAAGACGCAGTGTGGCTGAGAGACGGCTCCTGCCCCAGGCAGGACAGAGGGCGCACGTGAGAAGCCACGTACCTCCTTGACCTTCTCGGAGGTGATGGCGTTATTCTTGGTGTCGATGGCGCCTTCAGCCACAATGATGATATTGAGCCTTTTTTTCCGGGCACGGTTCTAAGGAGTCAGAAAATTAAAGCTCTTGAATTGCTAATTCGTTGTTAGCAATGATGGAGACAAAAAACAAACATTCGTCTCAAATGGATCTGGCTTCTGTTCAAGCTGCAGCCTTTGCCTAAGTTCAGTAGAACTGCTTGTGATGACGCCTGGAGGGCTCTGGGGTCTGGCAGCTCCTGTGACAGCACCACAGCAGATGGAAACCCCTGCTGGGGGTGCTGATGTGCTGGCGGGACCTTCCCCAGGTAGGAGCACAGAGGCCAGACCCCCAGCAGGTGTGTGCCATGTGCCCATCCCAATTAGGTAACACAGCCAGGGCACAGCCAGGACACGTGAATGACTGTGCCACTCTAGCCCAAAGAGTGGGTCCTGGGCAGCCGCAGCTGTACCAGAGCAGCCAGCACGTGCTGTCAGGATGCCCATGGCCACCGCTGCCACTGTCATACACAGGCACACAGTGTCACACACTGGACATGGGAGCCTTAAGTGGCCTGTACAGTCAACACTGGAGCTGGTTCACAATGTGTGTTATTAACTCGTTCTCAGGGGACGTGCTTCCTACACAGCCCCAAACCACAGACCGTCTGGTGGGAAGTGTACCTGGTGCCTGTGTGGAACCCAGAGCAAGATGTGCCTGAAGCTGCCAGAGCCCGGGGCAGCCTGGGGGTTCTCAGCCCTGTCTCTGCATCAGTCACACACGCAGATTTGGTCTCAGTTTTGAGAGATAATGAACGTACTATGCATCAAAGAATTTATTAGTCAGAAGCATTTTCTTCAAGGTAGAGAGATCTAAGTACAGAGTGATTATTTTAGAATTTTCTGAAGAAAGAACAGTGGAAGCAATGACAATTCTATTAAGTAAGAGAGCAGCTAAACAACCTCGACCATCAGGAAGCAGAGTGTTCTGAAGTGGCTGGAAGATGAGCATCTGTATGAGCAGGAGACACGCCCGTCTCTGCCTCACCGAGTGCCTCCTCATTCTGTGCCTGGACAGTGAGCTCCCCCCCGGGTGAACTCGCTCCCTGAATCTCCATGGTAACACTGAGCAGGCCATGGCAGAGGAACCCTGTGCTACAGCCGGGGAGCTGGGGACACAGAGAGCTGAGGCTGTTTGCCCAGAATCGCCCTGTTAGTGGTTGGGCCAGGAAGGAGCAGCAGGGGTTCTGATGCTTCGGACAACTCTTCAAAGTAAATTTCCAATGCAAGTTAAAATAAATATTTAGAATAAAATGATATACAAAAAAATTGTTATGCTAACATAATGGGTTTTAATGTATTTTAATGCATTTTAAATTTACCATATTGAAACCCACTGTTCTCGGGGATGTTCTGGGCCTTACATTTACCCAGCAAGATACTTGTAAAAACGTGTGCAGTGGAGCAGCACCTGTGGCTCAAGGAGTAGGGCACCAGACCCATATACCGGGGTTCGTGGGTTCAAGCCCAGCCCTGGCCAAAAGTGCAAAAAAAAAAACAAAGTTTGCAGCGCTGTACTAATGACCTGTAAAAACCGACAGCAAATGCAAGCTTATCCCGTGTTCCTCACCTGGGTTAGTTTAAACCATCAGTCCTAACTCTGCCGGCACTGAGGGGAAACAGCCCCAGGGCCTCCCTCTTGCCGTGTCTGACAGCACAGTTTACAGTCTGAGAGCCACAGAGGCTGGAGCGCAGACCACACAGTCAGGGAAGTAACCCAGGAATGGCAGTGCCAACCTTCCCTCATGCATAAGGTGACCAGATTTTAACATTGGTAAAGCGGGACACCACTGGGGGGGGCAAGGCCTGGGGGAGTGGGGGGGTGGGGGGTGGGACCTGACAACAATGCAAACTTTGATAAGCAGTTCTTGATAATAATTTCTCAACAATTATTTGTTATTATTAAACTTTAACATTATAAAATTAACAAAAATAATATAAAACGCATATCCTGGTGAAATAGCCACATGGCAGCCGAAAACCATATATTCCCTTCCTGTTCTCCCGTGTTCCGTAGTTTGTCGTGCATTCTTTCCAAAAATCAGGGCTATTTAAAACACTGCAGGACACAGGACAAATCATTCAAAAGCCGGGAAGTCTGGTCACCTTACTCTAGAGGGGGAGGGGCTACTTGTTTGTTCCAGACAGTTTGGCTCCTTCTGAGCTAATTGTCCTTGCCTAGAAGCAAGGGAGGGAGCCAGTCTCCTGATACCTTGCCCTGGAGGGGAGTAGGGAGTTTACATTAGCCTTTTCATTTCCAAATGAAGTTACATTAACCTCTTCATTCCCAAATGGAGTTACAGTAACCTTTTCAGCAGTTGAAAACAGTATCTGTCCCTTCCCATTCTCCTGCTGTTCCTTAGCTTGTCATTCCAAAAATGGGGACTTTTTAAAACGCCCTGGGATGTGGGACAAATTGTTCAAAAGCAGGACGTCTGGTCACCTTACTCATGCAGCCTCTCCTCCTGACCTGCGGGCCCCCACACAGAGCCCGTCTCACGAGGGCTGTGATGCTGCCATGGAAGGCCAGGCCAGGGGCCCTGTCATGGAGGAGGGAGGACAGGAGGGGATCAGTCCTGGGCCCCGGGGCCACAGACTGCTGGGGTAATGTCCTGGGTGAGGGTTGTGAACTGTATATTCCTCATGGCCACATACCAGTGCCAGTTACAAGGAAAGTACTCACACCTCACAGAGCCAGCCACATAGGAGCCTGTCACCTCACCGGGCAGCTGAGGGTGCTGCTGCATCCTCTGGGCCAGACCCAGCCACTGGGGACCTGCCCCTTCACTGGATGGGGTACTTGGTGTCACCAGTCACTGACTTATTTCAGCTGTGACCATCAAAGCACGGGTGACTTCCACCAGTGAAGACACAGCTCCTTACACAGATTCACCCACAGATTCCATGTCAGCAAAGCCTACTTGTTCATTATTTGAATTCTTTCCTGGGAATGAGTTACCTTGAAGGCCTAGGGAGGTCGGATGGCACCAGTGGCCCTTGTCGCTGACGCTGCTGGTGTGTTTGCTGAACACGACTAAACCAGCCCAGGGAGGAGACCGAGCCCACACGGTGGGGTCCTGTTCAACCTAACCATGGTCTCAAGAGAGGCCTCTAATGCCTTGAGTGTCCCCTTCGTAGAGGGACACGTGCCCCGTGTGACAGTCTGAAGGTAAAATTCAAACCTGCTGCGAATTCCAGACGCAGGAAGAGAAAATCTGGGCTCAAAATAGCAAGGAAACAGTCATGCCGGAGAACCCAACACAGCGGAGACCTCTCAGCTCAAAGAGACGTCACAGAATCCGACACAAAGTGTTTGGGGCATTAAAATCAGAGAAGCAAAACAGTCCAGCTCTGACCAGGTATGAGGTAAACGAAACTGGAGACAGGCTTTGTCTCTCAGTCTGATTTCTCAGAGCAGCTGTAATCACAGGGCACCCTCTGTATGTAAAACTAGAACCCTGCAGAAACCTAATAAACACATGTATAACAAACAAACAAAAATAACCTAAAACCCTGCTCACAATGAAAAGCAGACATCACTGCAACGTCAGGAAGATACGAGACACAGGAGATGCTTGTGAGTAGCGGACCTTAAAATGCTGTCCAGGTGGAGGAGACACCAAAGGCCCTTCTGAACTCGGCAGCTAGTGGGGCCCCCAGATGACAGACGTGAGTTACCTCTGAGAGCTTCTCACACAGCAGCTGCTCCCAGCCTTCCTGTGGTGGAGATTCCGGGAGGAACACCCAGTCCGCCCCGCAGGCCAAGGCGCTCACCAGGGCCAGGTATCTTTGAGGACAAAGCAGCAGAGTCAATGGGGACTGTGTGTCCCTGGGGCACCCAGCTCAGTGACAGATTTGGGCAGATACAACCCTAGGATACAAATCAGGAATGTAAACTGCCCTGGGAGCTTCCCTGGGAGGGGGCAGGGCACATGAGGGACGACTCCAGGGCCCCTGCACCTGAGGCGTGTCTGTAGATACGTACCCACAGTGTCTCCCCATGACCTCGAGAACGAAGGTCCTCTGGTGGCTGGAAAAGAAGAAAGGGACATCCACTCACCACGACAGGGACAGTGCCCCACATGCCACCCTGCCTTGTGACTGCTGCAGGTGCCTCAGCTTCCCCAAACAGGAGCAGCTCAGCCCACTCTTGAGAACGGAGGGGCCTCAGCGATGCCATCTCTCCAGCTGCACCTTCACACCTGTCCGCTGGTGCCTGAGACACACTCAGACTCCCAGGACACTTTCCTGACCGCTTCCCAAGGAAATCACTGCACTGGCCAAAGTCAGTCACTTTTGTCAAGAACCACGGCCTGGGACACCCCACACAAACACGGGCCATGAGGCTATGGGGTCAGCATGGCCGATGCCCAGTTATCTAACACCTCACCAGGACACCTCCCCCGAGCCTTCCTACCTCTGTGCGGTTGTCATGATGGCATCGATGACCTCGATGATCCTATGCAAGGCTGAGTCGGTGCCGATGGTCATGTCTGTGCCGCAGAAGTCATTGTCGATGGAGCCCACCATGCCCACCACGTTGAGGTGGGCATACTTCTGCATAGCCTTCTCCTCAATCTGGCCTGTGTGGCGGCAAACAGCACACCCCATCTCCAATCAACAGGTGCCCCCAGCATGGGGGCAGGACGGCAGAGGCCAAAGGCACCAACCATCCTCCCTTTCTATATCATTATTTTACTTTCTCAAAACTCCAGCCATCTGGTTCTGTACACTTAAGGAAAGCAGAGCCAGAGGTGGGAGCAATTACTCAAGATGTGGGCTGCTACGTGGCACTCGGATAAGAGCAGCAAATTGTAAGAACAAAAGAAAGGGTCTGCACACTGTAATCAGTGGATAAAAATCCCAGTACTACCCAGCAACAGCTGCAGAGAACAAGCAGCTCCAAGACCCTACACCACCTTCATACGGATTCTCATCTGTCTTCGGGGAGCAGGACCCACCTGGGGCGACTCTGCAGGAGGGAGGTCAGAATGGCTGCAGGGCACACACGCACCTGCACTTGGGGCACCATCTTCTCCCCTGCCACCTGTAGCCTTGTGTTCCACCAGACTGGACAAGAGGACACTGGGAGGCCCTTGCTTCAGCCAACTAGGCAGCTGGTCTCCACTCCTCAAGGAGAGTCTTACAAAACACAGGGTCAGGAAGGTCAAGTTCACACCTTCCACAGAGTTGCCATGAGTTTCAACAATCTGCTCTCACTCGTTGTACTTTGTATAACATTGGAATTATATAACATCAGCTTGAAGAAAGAAAAACTGCACACATGAGGGTTCTCAGAAACCCCCCCAGGCAGTGTCAAAGGAGAAGAAAGATGATGCAATGGCTTTTTTTTTTTTTTTGTAGAGACAGAGTATCACTTTATTGCCCTCAGTAGAGTGCTGTGGCATCACACAGCTCACAGCAACCCGCAGCTCTTGGGCCTAGGTGATTCTCTTGCCTCAGCCTCCTGAGTAGCTGGGACTACAGGCCCTACAATGCCCGGTTATTTTGTTGTTGTTGCTGCCATTTGGCCGGGGCTGGGTTTGAACCTGCCACCCTCAGTATATAAGGCCAGCACCCTACCCACTGAGCCACAAGGGCCGCCCAGTGCGAAGCCATCTATTTAGATCTTTATCACTTACGTAAAGTCTTGCAAAAACTTGAAGTATTAAGAAATGCCATGGAGCTGGAGGGACATGATATGAGGACTCAAGTGTGGACACTGGTGCCCAAGGGCTGATGTAAACCTGGACCCCACAGCTGGGCCATGTGGCTTCTTCCTCTATAGTCTCTGACTCTTCATCCATAAATAAGGATAAAGAAAAGGGTCATTGTGGGGCTTCCACAAAACTGCCCCTGGGGAAGGTGGATGGGTGCCTGGCTCGTCAGGAGACTAAATGAATGACGTTCTTATTCTGCTGTTGTCACCATCGGAGGCCCAGCGGTCCTGGGATGCTGACCTGTGCGGTCTGCAGCACCAGGTGCTCTGCCCCGGTCAGAAGGAGATGTACCTGCTCCGAGGCTCTCTGAAGACAAAAAGACAGATGGGGGGACCAGAGAACCTGGGAACCCTGCGGAGTGGGTGCGAAACTCACCGTTCCGGACCAGCTCCTCCAGAAGCTCCATCCACTCCTTTCGGAAGATGTTGGCCCCAGTGAGGCTGCCGTCCCCACCGATTACACACAGGTTGGTGATGCCCACCTGGGTCAAGTTGTAGGCGGCCTTCAGGCGGCCCTCGCGGGTGCGGAAGGCCTTACAGCGTGCACTGCCAATGATCGTGCCACCCTGGGAGAGATAGGAGGCGCTGGACAGATGCCAGATGGGCTGGCACAGCACATGTGCTCACAACCAAGGATGCCACCCTGGCTTAGCCCAGAACAGGGACATGTGTCCCCATGAAGTCCACAGCACTCAGAAGTGGCCAGGTGGGGTCTTCCCAGCCTTTGTTCCACTTTACTCCAAAGGGTCTGGTCTGCAAAACCCAAAGGTCTTGCGTTGTCGCAGCTCCACACGCAGCACCAACAAACCAGAGCAGCCTCCAGGTCATTAGTCTGACCTGGGAACAGCCACCCACCAGAAGTACCAAACAGGCTGCCGCTGCCACACCTGACTTTTTCTGGAAGGGTCACTGGAGTTTACACCACATACAGCTTTTCATTGTTTTAAATGACAAATCAGAAATGTGTTCTTGAGAACAAGGACCGCACATTAATCTGTTTTAAGTAGTGCTGTGGCACGAGCATAAGAGGTTTCAAACTAAAATAATTCCTTTCTAACTTAGAGAAGCAGACGGCAGCACGGTACCCACCACCTGCAGGATGTTGGAGACACTCTCCCAGTTGGCCTCCACGATGTTCTTGCCGCCGTCCACCATGCCCTGGTAACCCTAAACCAGAAGAGGAAAAACCTTCTTAAGAACGAGTGAGACTGCACCTCGACGTTAACTGATGCTTAGATCACATCAGCTCAGACACCGCTGGCAACAGCATGTCGTCCCCAAGCATTCAGCAGTTACAAGTCACACACAACCCAACTGCTGGCTAGAAATACTCAGTTGTACAAAAGCCTTTTAAATTTAATCTTGAATGATGGGAATTTCTACCCAGAGTCATCCACGGAGCACAGTAAGGAATAGGAAGTGGTTTGCTTACGGCCTGGTGATTCCCGAGAGATTGAAAAGGGACACGGTTACCCCACGTGTTTATAACTCCACCAGGACTCACACACACGGGGTGGTGTTGCCGACCACACCACTAATGGGAAAGCACATCCTCAGGGGCCAGGGCCACGTGGGCTCCCTCAGGTCCACACCAGGATTTCTAGAGAGCACAACTGGATAAGTCAGCCAGCCTCCCCTTCCGACTTGTGCAGGTCTCCGCGGTGGTGAACGAGGTGGGGGTATGCACCTTTGCCAGGACCCCAGGGACAATAAGCTCACAGCTCTAACTGGAATCCGTCCCCCACCCTCCAAAAAATACACAGTATCAAGAAATGCATAAATGTCCAGCTCTAGACACGTAATGTACATTCCACACCATTTCACTTTAAAAAGGACTAGCTGCTAACATTTAAATGTGAACATTCAGGAGAGCTGGTGATAGTGATGGCCACTGCAGACCCATAACCCCACCCAGTGAAGGTGCGGAGACAAGTGACACAGATGACGGTTTAATAAATGAACCAGCTTGTGGATGGTGGAGCTGTGTGCATAAATCAATCGGTAGCAGATTCCTTTCTGGTTGGCCAATTTGCATACTGACCTTTATGAATGTAAACTGACATGAAAAATAATAGTGCAAAGCCACAGAACACCTCCTGTACACGACCCACTCTAACTGGGGGTCACTCATCTCGGTGTCACAGTCCCCCCATCTGAAGGCCTCACAGAGGGCGTGCTGCCAGCAGACCCCCTCCAGCACAGAGGGCAGCCCGTTGTCCCTGTGGAGGGAAGGTGCACAGGAGGGATGAGATTTGATCCAGGCCTTCCCTCTGGTCAGACCACTATCTGCATCCCGTCCTGGGGTGTCCACGTCTGTCCACACCAGGGGCGGCACCAGGCACAAGCCACCACTCACAGGCCACACCCCTCCTTACCCCAAGTGCTTCCCACAGGTCTTACTTCTATTAAAAAATGATAGGAGGGTGGGTGGGTGGGTCCATGGATGGATAGACAGGGATGACCCGGCCTGAGGGGGGCACTGTTCATCCCTCCTCCCCAGGCTTCTGAGGCTGAGGCTCACACTCCACTCTGCACGCACACCACTGCACACCTGCTTCTGAGGCCAGCAGGACACTGAACAATTCACCCTGTGTGGCAGTCCTGACACGCCAGATTCATTTCTGTGAAGCGTGAGAGGCAGAGAAATGAGGAGGCAGTGTGGGCTGGGGTCTAAGCGTCAGACCCACAGCACTGCGCTGAGAGGGGGGTCTCATCAGAACAAATGTCTGACAAAGAGGCCAGAGCAGCAGGCTGACCCAGGACCCGCCTGCACAGGACACAGTGCGGGGGCTTTGGCAAAATAGAAATGAAGGCCTGCTAAGCTCCCACCCCAGAAGCCTCGCAGCCGCTAGTCCCCTGTGCTGTCTGTCAGCTGGCAGGCGCGCTGCTCCCCATGTGCTCAGGTGCCAGGTGCGCTGGTTCCCAGGCACTCAGTCCTCAGGGAAATAAAGAGGCTACAGGCTGAGCCAGCCACTGCTCTGCCAGGGAGGGGACTGAGCTTGCTAGAGCATCTTCAGACACCTGGAGCCTGAGCCAGCCACTGCTCTGCCAGGGAGGGGACTGAGCTTGCTAGAGCACCTTCAGACACCTGGAGACTGAGCCAGCTGTGAGCATCAGACAGAGACAACTTCCCAACTCTCCCGGGGTGTGTCCTCCCAGACCCTCTGTCCCCCGACTCCCCCGGGGTGTGTACTCCGAGACCCTCTGTCCCCCGACTCCCCCAGCGTGTGTCCTCCCAGACCCTCTGTCCCCCGACTCCCCCAGCCCCCAGCGTGTGTCCTCCCAGACCCTCTGTTCCCCGACTCCCCCAGCCCCCAGAGTGTGTCCTCCCAGACCCTCTGTCCCCTGACTCCCCCAGCGTGTGTCCTCCCAGACCCTTTATCCCCCGACTCCCTCAGGGTGTGTCCTCTGAGACCCTCTGTTCCCCGACTCCCCCAGCGTGTGTCCTCCCAGACCCTCTGTCCCCCGACTCCCTCAGGGTGTGTCCTCCCAGACCCTCTGTCCCCCGACTCCCCCAGCGTGTGTCCTCCCCGACCCTCTGTCCCCCACCACACACCATCTCACAACCTGCTATTTTCTTACAGAAGAATGTCCTTCCCTTTTATTCACAGAACTTAAATACTAATTTAATAAAATATGTGTTTTCTTTTTTACAATTCTCTTTGCTTCGAGAGCGATGAGAACTGTTCTATGAACACATTTTGAGAAGTAAAATCTTTTCTAAAAATAATTGGATTATTTTGTGTAGCATACTATATGGCGAAGGAAGCAATTAAAAAACAGAAAAGTGGGACTTTGTTAGCGCTGCATTCAAAGCTTTTTATGAGGAGTAAGTGCTAAGCTGCTAGGAAATGACTCGCCAGCTAATTTGCAAAGTCATGATACCCATGTGAGTGAGAAAGTGACTACCAACTGCGCTTGTAAGCTGTCTAGGGAAGATGTTACTGAATTAAAAGGACCAACTTTACTCAAATGTACATATATAAATTCAGATAATTTTTTCTACTGAAGTCTCCTTCGAAGGCTGCATACTTATTTTAATACAGCCAAAGCCCAAGCATTTTCTACAATTCCCTTTTGCAGTTTGCCTTCAAAAACCAGTGTTATGACTCCCGTAAGAAAACACACCACACGAGCTTTCACTGTGCTCAGGTTTTCAGAATGAACACCGTCTGTCTTCTTGACACTAATTCACGACAGGAGCCTACGAGCTCCTTGGCAGCCCACGTCAAATCCCTCGTCCAGCAGAACTTTTTACATCCAGTCACTTGATCACGTCTAAGAACATGCCACAGGCTCTGACATCATTTTCACTTCTTGTTTGAAATGGTTTTGAACAGTGTGAAATGAGCATATCGGCCACCTAATCACTACAAGGGGGATAGCATGGTATTAGAGGTGGTTCTGACCAGTATTTTCAGGCATTAGCTGCTGAGTCGTTTATAAATGCAACAAAAGCTGGTCCTCCTTCAGTAGCTTTCTCTTCTGTGAGAGCCCACAAGTATTTTTTAGAATTCAAAACCCACAGGAAATGACAGTCTCCTATCACAGCAAAGTAGGCCCATTCTTCTGGAAGGCTTGCCAGATGGGTCCCTATGTCTTCCCAACTGGGTGAAGCTTCGTTCCAATATGATTCCTGAATTCCTCATTCAACAACTAACTGTTCAAATGGCAAACATTCCAACTGCCGGAAGAAAACAAGATACCAAAGGCCACACACTGCAAAGGTATTTTCTGGATCTCGTTATCTGCTCCTTCCTGTGGGTACAGTTGGTGCATTCAGGGGCTAAATCTACGAGTTTTGCTCCTTCTGAGTAAACGCACAATTCTTTTTATTTTCTTTAATTTTCCATAAAATCAAGCTTTACCTCGTTTATTCCTTAATAATTTAAAACGTTTCACTTAACAGAACTCAGAGCAAGTGTGTAGAGCAGTCAAGCCCTGAACGGCTGTCTAGTTGTAGATGGAGTCAAAGCCCTCCCCCAAAGCTAAGTGCTCAGGACTAACAGCTGGCAGAGGGTTCTACCCACCAGTGGCTCTCAAAGATCAGGAACTGGGACTTTATTTTGCCCACAGGAGAGTTACAGGCAGAACCTGAGATTGTGTAGCCCCACACACATCCAGAGCCCTGCCCTCCACCCACCTGAGCTCTGAAGGGGTCCTCTCATCCAGTGTGTTTGTTGGTCACCCCACAAAGTCATGTCACCCCACAAAGGCACATTTGCAGATCTAATTATTCACGGAAAATTTCTGGGAAGCAGCTGCAGGATCTGTCCTTGGTGAGATTTAGTTAACTCTAAAATTCTAAAGTAGGTTAGAACAGGACACACTATTGTGTAGACATGTATTTGGAAAACCAGTTAATATGCCAACAAGATTCATTTAGCCCTCAGGCAATACTGCATTTCTTTAAGCCAAAGTTAAGAGCGAATAATTCCATGTGGCTTGTATAGCCAGTTTGGGGCAAGTCACCACCGTTCCTGGCAGACCTCCTGGGGTTAGCTACCCTCCCCTAGACCGGTGGGAGCGCCTGTGGCACTTTGAACAGAGACCATAAGGAGACCTTCTGTGGCCAAGGGCATGACCTGAACAATTGTGCAGATTAAGTCAGAATTGCAGGTGAAGAATTTAGAGTGGGATCTCCTGTCGAGCTTCTGACATAAGACCACGAGTGGGATCTCATGTCGAGCTTCTGACATAAGACCACGTTTCACCCTATAACTGTCTTCACCGTCCCAGACGTGCTCTGGCCGGTGTTCCGGTGAGACGGCAGGGATGCAGGGGAGACCAGCTCCCAGGAACCAGCCTTTGACCCGACTCCAGGACGCTGGCCCACTCGGTGGACACGCACACATTAGTGAGGGGATAGAGAGGCCGGGCACAGACCTGGCGGGGTTTGGCCGCGAACCTAAATGGAGGTCGTGCTCACTGACACACACAACTGCACACGCAAGAACGTTATTTTATTTTTTTAAGAACGTTATTTTTAAACAGACAGGAGTAATTTCAACTTCAGGAAAGTCAAAATCCAGAAATGTTATAGTCAGGTTTAGAACCTCAAAAGATACGATCAAATGCGATTCAGAGAATCTTGCTTGTCCTGTAGAGAACTGATAGGGGAAGGCTGGGGTCACTAGAGGGAGGTTGAGACAGTATAAAGTAAGTTT